CACATGACCCTTAGGCTTTCTTCATTTTGTTTTGATCTTTTTTCTGATTGATCCCTTTCCAAAGAAGTATTAAGGTATTTGTCTTCAATCTCACTGTCTTCCATTGATTTAATTCTACTCTTTTGCCCATTCAGTGTGTTATCTATTTCTGAGAATTTAATATTAATCTTCTAGATTTTGTATCATTTCTAATTTTTCTTTTGTCATTTTGTTCTTGTGTTGTCTTCTGAAATAGTTCTAGGGTTTTTTCTGTGTTTTCCTCAATTTTGTCAGTGTTTTCCTTGATCTGTCTCTCAATCTGTTGAAGGTACTAAGTATAATTCTTTTGAATTCCTTATCAGGGAGTTCCAGTGCTGCTTCTTCCTCAGGGATGTGTTCTGGGTCTGTATCTTGGTCCTTTGTTTCTGCTGATTTTTCTTGCTTCTTTGTGTGGACTGTGATGGTCTGTTGCCTCTTAGACATCGTGACATTTTTATGTTTATATTTAATTGGTGTTTGTATGTTGGAGTGATTTGCCCAAGATTTTAGTTTTCTTTGGATGTATCTGAGTAAGCATGGTTCTGTGCTCCTCTATTCACTAGTTGGCAGCACTTATACACTCACCACCTATCTCCTTTCCAGTCATCAGCTTCCCATATGTCTGTGCTGTCTTTGGCAAGCAGAGCCTATTCTTAGGTCCCTAGAACCTGAATGAGAATGCTGTCACTTTAAATATCCAAAATGGCCACAACTTGTAAACAGTCAAAATGACTGTGCCCTCCAGACAGCTGAAAGTCCACAGCTCAGTTTGTCTCCTTCTTTGCTGTTTCCCTTTCCAGTTGTCAGCTAACCACGCAGTAGTCCATGCACCCCTTAGCAGGGCTGATTTTTAGGTTAATTCTCAGGTCCTAACACCACTTGGAAATATTCAGGCTGACTGTGCCATTCATTGGGAGGGAGCTTTGGTGGTGTAGTGTTTAAGTCATTTCGCTGCTAACCAGAAGCCTGGCAGTTCAAACCCACAAGCTACTCCTATGAAGGAAGATTGGGCAATCTACTTCCCTAGAGATACTGCCTCAAAAACCCAAGAAGGGGTTGAGTCAAATTGATTTGACAGCAGTGAGGTTTTTTTTTTTTTTTGGTGCTGTCAAGACAGCTGACAGTCTGCATCTCCATTTGTCTCCCTACTCACTGTTTTCATGCTGGTTCTTCTACTAACTCACTGCTGTTGAGTCTGATCTGACTCATAATGACCCTTCTTTGGGTTTCCAAGGTGGTATCAGTACAGAAGTAGATTTCCCAATCTTCCTTCTGAGGAGTGGCTGGTGGATTTGAACTGTCAGCCTTCTGGTTAGCAGCCAAGTGCCTTAGGCACTATGCCACCAGAGCTCCTGGTTCTTCTACTGTTGTTGTTGTTGTTGTTATGTGCTGTCGAGTCGGCCCCGACTCATAGCGACCCCTCCTTGGGTTTC